TCCGCTTTCCTCACTAGCATAAGTCTTTTTTGTTAATGTATTTATATTTAAGTAACTGTATAAGACGGTTGTGTCGGACCTTATCGAACGCCTTATTGTAATCAATAAAACAAACATAGGGTGGTTGGTTTACATTCATACATCTTTGCATGAGGACGTTAAATCCAAATAATGCCTTTCGTGTACCCATGGCATTCCTAAATCCAAATTGAATCCAGAACTGGTTACTCCACACAAAATGCATTGATAGAAGCAGCAACTTTCATTTCTCAGACATCCAATGAGTACAACAGGCCAGATATTGGCATCTTTTTAGATGTGCTAAAGGCGTTTGATCAGGTCTGACTTGCAGGACTCATTGCAAAACTCCACCAATCCGCCGTGCCCATTCCATTCCTGAGAATAATCCAATCTTACTTAACCGTTAGGACTATACGAGTCAAAGTCGATAACCAACTATCTACACTTCTCTTTTCATATTCACTTCTCTTTTTACCGTCATATCCTGGTCTATATGTACTTTCGATATAATATGTATTTAATGTCATCTTCTATACCTTTACTATTTTCATTTTTGGCACTGTTTCTTTATCCATTCCTATACTGTGTATGATATTTATATTAGGTGTGTTAGTTTATTCTCCTTCATATTTGATATCACATCGATATTTCCCTTTCAACCAACTTTACTCAATAATCCGTTTTATTCCTTTTTATTATATCGTTAATATGCAAGTTTAATAAATCATACTCTTACTCGTTTTACAAAATAGTAATTAGATGTGTGCTATATCACACCTAAGGTCATGTTAAATATCTCAACTATTTTTTTGTCTTCATTAATCTATTTAAAAAAGGAAGATATATTTAAAACTTATTGTCCGATAGCTTAAAATATATGTGCAAAAATACTACTGAGTACACTAACAAGTTCTAAGAAATAAACCCATAAAATACATTATTAATTAGCGACTTATCTTTTAAAATAATCAGTTATTTATGTTATCTATTTTTGTTCCAAAGTCATAAAATTATTTATCTACTACTGTGTAGACTATAAGTAGGTAATAAAACAAGGGAAAAACAAATTAATCCTTAAGTTTTAACCTTATGACAGGGTACTTTTTGACCCTACCAACAATTAATTTTTATTTATTGGAAAATCTATGAAATCTGGCAACGTCTCATATACTAGCTATTCTTTGGTACTATTATTATTATTATTATTATCGTAAAATTATTTACTACTGTGTAGACTATAAGTAAGTTAAGACTTAACCTTATGACAGGTCTTTTTTGACCCTACCAACAATCAATTTTTATTTATTGAAAAACTATCAAATCTGGCAACTTCTCTTGTACTAGCTATTCTCTGGTAATTGGATGAATCTAATTACCGCAATATAACTGGAGACAATTGATCTTCAATAGAGGTGGTTAGAGAGTTTTGCAGCACCCTACATATTGTAGATACTCATACGCAGAATAAGCGAGAGATACCTAAAGAATTCTCTCCAAATAGACAACATGAACCATATTTATCACTATTTGGATTTACTAAGAATGAAACATTAGTTTCCTACGTACTAAAAAAGGCTGCCCTGTTTTTTTTTTCGTTTTTTTCAATGCACCAACGAATATATAGTAAAAAAACTACCCGATATCTCCTTTTATAATTTAACAACAGTTGCAGTTGACGTATTATTAGACCAAACTTGTGTTCATTATAAAATATTGAGACGCACGCGAAGATGGACTCTACTTATATGGTTCCGGCTTAAGGATATTGCTGGAGTAAATGTAGGAATTAAGGAGAGAAATGATACAAGAACAATTAATTCGACGTTCTCAGTTAGCACAAATTCCACGGGAACTGAAACAAGTTATCCGACAAAGGTCTAACGTCCTTTAACATCTACAATCTTTGGATTTCACATCAAAGGATTTCTCGACTATAATTTAATTTTTAGGCAACAGTTACACACTTTATCGTTTTCTAATATTAGACCCATCTCTCTATTCTGTTGAAGGTACTTTAAAATTTACTCCCAAATGCATTACTACGGAGGGACATATTTGATGTTTCGCTCATTGGGAGTCGATAAATATGTAGACTCCATTATTTCTTTTGCTTTTTATTGTTAAATTGTAATTTTCAACAGTTTTGTTTTAATTTTTTTATGTTTCAGCATAAAGCGTTTGACACCAATAGAACTAATATTCAATTCAGTGTCGTTGGCTTTTGAGTAACGAAAAATTTAAAATGGAAAAGAGAATCATTTTTCTTTTATACATATTTGGTAATACTTTTATTTTAATAAAATGAAGGTCTTGATTTGTGGCTAAGATAGAGGAGGTATTAAGGAGTTGTATTATTAATTACAAATGAAAGAAAGGTAATTACTTTCTTTCATTTTTTAGTTTACCTGTCGATTGCACCATATGATGGTGAAAATTATATGATTATAGTTATTTGAATTCCTCTTTAAGTAATTCCTATGTATTTTTTTTTCATATTTATGGCTAAATGTTGAAAAAGTTATTTTTTATGAATCGAAATCAATTAATATTGTTTTTACTATAGAAATATATATGTGGCAATAATCTATGTATGTATTTAAAAAAGATAGTAATAAAACAGTATTCACGAACCACTTAGCCGTTTAAGTTGCCAGTCATTTCCAGGTTTCACTTCCAGTTTGCAAAGCCAAAAACATATTTTCTGGGCGGAGTGCATTTTTCTATCTTTTTCGGTCATCTATTTTCAGACATTATCTGCAGATGTCCATACCAGTTTAGTCTTTTGGTTTCGATAGTGTCTATTATGTCAAGCTCAATTTCCATTTCTCTCCTATGGTCTAAGTTCCTTACCTTATCAATTCTAGTGAGCCAAAAACTTTTTTTTTAATTTCTACACCAGTAATTCTTCCCTCAACACAGCTTTGATGCTATATTTTACTATGTTTCACGTTCTTCTAATTTATAATTTTTAATAGGTCTGCCAGTTTTAGTTCCTCAACTGGTCTTAATTTATTTACTAAATTATCGTTTAGTTCTCTAGTTTATCGTTAAACTATCGTTCAACTTTAATCTCATATTTTTTTCAAGTGCATCAGTCTTCTATATTTTTTATGATTAATGTTTATTATTATTCTATATAATATTCTAAATTCAAAAATAGATTCATCCCTTGTGTTAATGTTTGTGCTGAGATTCAGCCCTTGCATTAATTGTTGTGCTGTCCCATATGGTGGGATGTGCGATGGCATCACATCCTATAATGAGCTGTAATCCTTTTCCTAGATTCACAGAAAATATGCATATTTGTCGCTTATAATGCTTGGTGGACCTAGAACCTCATCACCCTAGAAGTAGGCTGAACACACGACTAGTTTCTTCTCTCCTACTTCCATGATTATAGTTAGAATACCTGTACCATATCACCGGGATTAATATACTAACTCTATTACTGTTCATTATATACGACCTTGGTCTTATAGCTTTAGGTCTGCATAAAACCTTAATTTATTTAGTTGATAAGCCAGCAATATATTATCACCTATCCTCCAGGGCTCTTACAGATATTATCACATCAATGCTTTCTTATTCCACTCTTCTAACCAGCGGTGCTGATGCGGCTTTTGTGTGTTGAAGATTGGTCTGCATGAACCTTATTTCTCTCTTAACTACGAAGAGTTTTCCTGTTCTGGTTCCGTCTACTCCGTCCTTACGAGTGGGCTGGTTCCACCTGAAGAATGTTGTTCCTCTTCCTGAACCTCCATATGTAGGGAAGTTCCACCTGTTTCACTGGAGCTAATTGCTACTGGTTTTTCCTCCAGTGTTTTTCTCTTCCCTTCCTTGGATCGGAAAGTTAACTTTTCCACTCCGAAAAAGAGTGACATTTTATGTTTTCGGAACTCTTCTCGAGATTCAGAATCCATTGAGAATGTTCCTTCGCTCATTGTTACTTATCCTTATTCTATTAAGGATCCTTTTGAACTCGAGATGTTCCCCATATTCATTCTGTACGAAGGAAGTGCATGATTTCGGTATATCTTCCTCTCCCCTCAAGCGAATCTGAGGTTCTGCTTCCGGAATTTCATCATAAACCACAAAGATGGCTTTTGGACTGCCTTATCTTATTCATATCCATCTTGGCTTCTGGGATTCCTGTTAGTACTTCTGCAACCTTGAAAGAAGCAGCAGCTTCGCTGAAAGTCACACCCTCGACTCTTGACTTTTTCCTTTACGTTTTTAGTATTTCTATCTGATGATATGCATTTCATCATGGGCATCAGATGACATTTATCTGATATCCATTTCCGTTGTGACTTTTGAGAATGAGTAACTTGAAAAATGATTTATAGTCAATTACTCTATAAATCCTTTCATTTCTTTTTCCCACTGGAAAGATTATGGAATTTGGATTTCAACAATAAGTGACAATTCTCAAGAATCAAAATTTAATTAGAATATTTTAAAACATGAATTCATAATAAAAACATCATCTACATATTTCCACCATACTGATTTTTAAATTTGGTTTAAAAATAATATTTTTTTAATCTAGAACAGATCTGGTGTGGTATCTTTTCTTTTAGAAAAATGTCAACTTTTCATCAATAAGACTAAAACAAACATCTTTTTCCTTTCCTGACTCTAAACAATTCCAAACTTCACATTAAGTTTGATGGATGTGCTTTCTAGGTTTTTTGTATATTCTACTATATTTAAAACATTTTTAACAGAACGTATAAAATATACGATTTGCATTACACTTATTTGTCTTCAACTTCATAAATCAAAGAAATGAATTAAAATAATAAAAAGGAAACAGATCAGAATGAAATTTATGTATTACGATAAAATTAATCGGAAGTTTTTTTAATATATATAAGGAATTAATACAACTACCTTAATACCACCGACAATTTAATTAACCGAATCAATCTAAGCCCATCTCCCTAACGTATCTAATTTTTTGTGTTTCGTTTTTGCAGACCTACTCAGGCTTGTTCTGTGTGGTCGTGAATCCGTACAGAAAGCTTCCCATATATACAGATAAAATCATGGAAAGGTATAAAGGAATCAAGAGACATGAAGTTCCTCCTCACGTGTTCGCCATTACAGACACTGCCTATCGATCTATGCTACAAGGTAAGTTTGTATTTTTTACTTTTAAAAGGAATTTCTGTTCTGTCGTAAGAAATCGTACAATTTACAATTTCAACGATTCCTTTTATTCATTTATTCTTCATTTAAAAGATAATAAGATAGTTGCAATTACACAAATATATAACTACAGATACATGGGCAGATTTATTTAAAGGATATGAATGCAATGCTGTTAGAATGTTAACACCAAATTTTCAAATTAACTGAAGATGTAAATGTTAATACTGAGGAAGCCAGTAAAGCAATAAGAAACTCGTCAGGACCAGATAAAATACCCAATGAACTGTTACAATATGAAGGTGGCATTGTTAGACGAAATCATAAATTTATGGCAAAAGATCCTTGAACATTAGAGAATCCAAAATAGCTGAAGACTAAATATAACGATTCCAATGTTTAAGAAGGAATATAATCAGAATAAGTGATAACTATTAATACTTTTACAATATTAGCATAAGAGCAACACGGTATTAGATCTAGAAGGTCATATAGAGACCCTATATTTATTACTCAACAAGTATTAGAAAAATCGGCTCTTAAAACCCTTTTAACATGAAGGGAAAGCCTTAATATAGGAATACCAACTGAAATAATAAAATGTTTCTAGAGTATTAATACGAACAAGATACGATTTTTAATTAATTGAGTATAGGGATCTCCAGCTCAAGCAATACGGACATTGAAGTAAGACTTCCAGTCTACAAAAGGTAACGAAGTAGCAGGCTGTCTAGATGGCGTAATATAGTTTATATAGACATGAATACAAGACACTTACATTTTAGAAATAATACAGTGCCGATGCAAGTAGAACAAAACGAATAATGGAAATAACAGATGAAAATATGAAGAATAATAATAAAATTTTATATGATAGAGCAAGACGCGAAAACATAAGGTAGTCCAAAAACAGATCCGATTAACACACTGTTAAAAAAACGAAAAATGGAATGGAATATTGATAGAATTACCTATACCGTGTGAAAAAACAATGAGCCACTTAAGAAATGCTGGTGTGACAGTCTAGGAGATATTGAAGATTCAACAGACACTGCCTCTTCATAAGAATGAAGAGGAAGAAGTGTCCTTCCTACTGGCATACTTCTCTTCTGCTTTAAGTGCCATCTTCGTTACAGAGGTTGGCAATTATCATAACCACTTTAACTTTTGAAGCCACTAGTTTAAAAGTTGTTTTTCGCTACAGCCATACAATTCTCTTAGATTCTTCAGCCAAGATATTTGCCTTGTTCCGACACTATTGTCTTGTATTTTGCCTTGCATTATGAGCTGCAAGATGCCATATTTTTGTCCACGCATTATTTGTCCTAAACATTACAGTTTTATTTATTTTGTTGTCCTTTCTTCCTTCTTTTTAACACTTCAACGTTCATAAAGTGATTCGCACATCAGATGTTCGTAATGTGATTCACCCAAGAGATCTTCAGAATCCCTCGATATGCCCACATCTCGAAGGATTTAAGTATTCTTATTGCCTGTCGATTGTTCAAAAAGTTTATTTGTTCCGTTCTTGAACATTTCAGCACAAATTATTTCAGGTATAACATATTTAACATACTTTAGGGTCATAGTAGCCTTCGTTACCGTTTAGACGTCTACCCTAACTTACTTTCCTTGTATATGTACTGATTGTTTTGGGGAGTCCTTAAGGTATTCCTGTCTTGTTTATGTCATCAAACTTTTATATTTCTGTTTCTATTGTTTTGATTTTATGGTGTGTATGTGCACTTTGTCTTTTCCGGTGTTTTTTACAGATCTTATTTTGTATTTTACCACCCTCTTATGTATATATTGACTCTTGACATTTCTGATTCCATATTTTGTTCTTCTCTTACTTTATCATTTTTCGTAATTGTGTATTGTTTTCTTTGTAAACTTGGTGATCTTTGTTCCTTCTTTTATTTAGCCGTTTTATATTGCATTTTTTACTATATTTTTGATTTCATCGTTACACCATTATTTTGTTGCTATTTTTGTTTCGTGTTGTCCCGAATCTTTTCATAGAAGCTTGGTGTAAACTTGCCATTATATTTTCATAAATTTCTGAAAACGCTTTTATCTATTTCTTGTAACTCTAAAACGTATCGTTTCTAAAACTATTGAAGTTGTACTTTTGTGTTTCCATTACTTACAAATCATCTTCTATAATCGTCTAAATGCATGATTTTAGAAACAAATACACTAACAGACAAAAAAAGTAGGTGTTTCTATTGATGTATCTTTTTTAATCCAATATTATATTACAAAAAAGTTATGTAGGTTTTCAGTGCATGCCTGCACCTGCATCGACAGAGCAGGTAATATGCCCGTCCTTCTGCCTATCATATCCCATACATGTGAAATATGAGAAAGGTCTGGGGATTTTGTTGGCCATGAAAGAATGGTGACGTTAGCCTGACAGAGAAACGTTAAAATGACAGCTGCAGTGTGGGACCTGGGAACATCTTGCTGGAAAATAAGGTTTTCTAGTTCTCGCAGATATTGCATTGTAACGGGTTCCAAGACATTATGAATGTAACCTTGGGCCTTCACGTTTCTTTCCAGAAATACTAGAAGTGATCTACTTCCATATGAGATGACACCCCAAATCATAAGTCCTCTGGCAAGCGCTGTCTCACGTTTCACGTAAAAGTCAAGTCCTCAAGTCAGAACAGCAGAAAATAAACATGTAACTAGTCTTTCTCCCTCTTACTCACTCACGCATCCAAACTCTTCAGTAAATAATATTGATAAATGAGATCGATAGGTCGGTGAATAAAAAATGATTAGAAAGATATAAATGTCTAGAAGACCTGACCGAAAGAAGTATGCAACTCCAGAGCCATAATACCTAAAGCACAATAATATTTATTGGAGGTTGGTAATTGGCAACGAAGATTTACTTAAAAATCTTGAAGTTAAGTACGTCAATCAAGAAATAAAAAGCTTTCGTCTAACGTATATTTTAACTCAGTAGTATCTGTAGTAGTAGTCACTACCATTAACGTATGAGTGAAATATTCCGTAGTATACATTTTAATCACCTGTTTGGCATATCATAATGAGTGCTTATTATTTAGAATAATTCTCATTTATTAACTAAAAATAGCTAATAAATATCTCCTTATTGTATTTCAAATATAATGATACTAATTTTCTGCTACCCAACTGTATTAACAACTATACACAATATCTACCAACAGAATGAGTTATCATAGATTAAATAAACGCAAATTAAAAGTAATTTTTTTTTTATAAAATAATGACTCAATACCTGCCATCACAAATGGTTCCTGGGAGTGACGATCTGTTTGTATCAGAAGACACAGGGTAATGACGTATTACTGTAAAATCACATCCACATTCTGGACATGTTCTGGTGCTTTTTCTGAAAGACACTTACAACACATTCAAATGAGTGTCCGTGGCGACCATCTGTCATCAACGTGACGGTAGTTACAGCAGGCTCAAAATTGATTTTATTTAATCCGTCAAATACAGCGGAAGAAACTTATTGGAGCCTTTTCCAAACTAGATTTCAGTACAATAATAGGAAAATACATTTTGCTTCTTCTTTAAGTGCCATCTCCGCGACGAAGATTGGCAATCATCATGGCTATTCTGACCTTCGAGGCAGCTGCTCTCAACAATTGTCTTGAGCTGTATGTATGTATTGAAACTTATTTTCCATTTCCCTCTCTCTGCCTATTTTCCTTAACACTTCTGTATTCGTGAGACTCTATCTACCCATGGACTTCTTAACAATCTTCTAAATGTCCACATTTCAAACGCGTTAAGTCGATTTATTGTATTCCAGTTTAATGTCCATGATTCAGCTCCATAGTAGAGTGCACTGTGACTGTATACATAGCGTGACAAGAAAATGTCTTCTTTCTTACGTAACATTTTTATTGTTCAATACTAATTATAATGGAAAAATATTACGTTTGTATTTCAAACCTGTTCGTTGGGATATTTTTTTGGAGTTACTTTAGAAAGTTTGTATGTTTTGTATGACGTTTTAACTCATTTTAAGCGTTTCTACTCACTGCCAAATGAATCACTGCCTTTAGGTCTTCTTTTTCTGATTTTCTTCAATTTTAATACACTACAATCATTTATTATCACTCACAACAAAAACACACAGTTGACATATGCAGATGTCTAGAAGTAGCGACATCTGAACCGTTGGACTTACGACTTTTCTAATGAATGAAAGGCCCCTGAAACTCCAATTTTAATGCTGGCACTTGGAACCTTTCTTAGGACAACAAGTGCAGTAGAACATGTCTTAGAATATATCTTATTAATTTTTAGTTTTAGTTCGTATGGTTATTGGTCCTACTGTCAGACATTTCAGGAACTTACGTGCTCGCTTAGCGTAGCTCTCGCTAATCTTCATTTTATGTAAATATATTTGCTAAGATAAAACTGATATTTTTCTAGGTGTTAAATAAACAAAATCGCAAATTATCTCCCAGAAATATAGTGCTTCGTTCAAACGGACGTGTGTGGTGGTGGTGTTGTTACATTTTTTAGTAATGTTGTAATTTATTTCTTGTTTTATATTTCAGAACGAGAAGACCAATCTATTCTCTGTACTGGAGAATCAGGTGCAGGTAAAACAGAGAACACAAAGAAGGTAATTCAATATTTGGCCTACGTAGCGGCCTCCAAATCACCCAAAGGAGCAGGAGCGGTAAGTCGTTCGTATTTTCTTTTTCAAAGTTTTTTTTAGGCTCAATATAAGTTCTGTATATATAGAAAAGTCACTTTTCAATTTGTAAAATACAAGAAGCATGAGTTAAATGCATCTATAGAGTATTTTTCCTGCTGGAAAGGTGATTGTAGGGATTAAGGTTTTTTTATGATAAATAAGAGAAAATTGCTACTTCTTAATTAGTTTTAGTTGTTGGTTGAAAAAACAGTAACTAAATGTTTGTCCATAATGAGTATTAATATTATCATTTTACCTATATCTCGTATCTTATTCTAACCATTTTTGGACATCAGCACTGCTCTAGTCCATTCATTTTTTACCTTTAAATTGTAGTTGCAAGGTTTACCTTTGCGATTTTATCGATGAGTGAATTATTTTACCATAACTAAAAAAAACTAGTTAAGTATACAACCAACTATATAAGTTATTTATATTTATACAGGATGGCGTATTATGCGTTTAGAATATATGAATGTCCTTTCATTTAAAATTAAACATTTGTGCTTCAACCAGACTATGACTTCGATTTACTTAATTCTTATCGGATAGTGGTGGACTAAAACCAAACTCGAAGCAACTAGTTTTACCCATGTCTCTCATGCAAATTTTGGGTGGCAGTAAATAGAAGCAACTGTAGTACGTATCGACCGCATTTCTGTTTTCGAGTTTGTCTTCAACTGCCTATTATCTGATGAGATCCAAGACGAAACATGTCAGCACAAATTTTTAGACAGAAATGACAGGGCATTAATGACTTAAAGATACATAATACGTCCCATCTTTAAATCTGTTTTTATCAGCTGTTTTTTATCAATACTACGTCATCCGCATAGGGCAGATGATTCAGCTATCGTAGATTTATTTTAATACCTCGTTCTTCCTACTGCACTTTTTGGAAGAATTTCTGCAAATTTTCATATTCATTAAAACTATGTGGAAATGCATACAAATGTTTCTGCACGATTTTGCTCGAATGCTTCAACGCTTATAACAATAGAACATCTTTAGAATAACAAACTATAGAACATCTTTACAAGCTTCACTTATCTCTGATTTCGTGTTGCCTTCTGACTAAGGTCTAGTGTTACGCTTTTCATTCGCGCAAGTGCCCCCAACATGACTTAACGACCGCTTAACTTGCCGGGATCGGCGGCTTTACGTGTCCTCTGAAGCACCTCTCTATGCTTTTTGTGTTTAAACCAATTAATATAGCCATTTATAGGACTGCTATTCAATTTTGAACACTACATATCGTCCGTAAGAGAAGTATCAAGCATCATTATAAACTTGAAAATCACAATATCATTTTGTAATCAGTTCTGGAACAATCTAGAAAAGACTGACTTTCTTACCAAAGATCCCACACCGGAGATTCGTAACTAGTACGTTTAGGATACTAGACTATTTGTAATTGGGAATGAGAATATAAATAAATATACTTCTACAGATAAGAAAAAAGTAACGCAGTTACAGTCTTTGAATGCAGCAAGTGATGACGAAGACGACTCGAATCTTGTAATGTTCAGATTTCTTGTAAAATGTTAAAAATAATCAGGTTGATTAAAATCAACATTCGTAACACTACTAAAAAACACCTAATTACTCACAATGCAGTGACTACCGAACTTCTTCTTTGAGTACCGTGCTCAAGTTTTAGGCGTGGCGATTTGCCGATATCGTTCTCGATCTTGCGCGGCATCTAAGAATTCATCTGCTGATGAGCCAGTCCATTGACAAAGGTTTCGGAGCTATGAGTATTTTTTTCTACCAATTCCCCTTCTTCCGTCTATCTTTCCGTTGAGTATCAACTGCATTATCCTGTATTATCTGCTTCCTTTCATTATATGCCCTAGATATTCGAGTTTTCTCTTTTTATTATCTTTATTAAGTCCCCTTCACCTTGACCTACACTGTTAGACTTCTCTGTTTGAAATGTGTTGAACCCATGATATTCTGAGCATTCTACGATATAACCACATCTCGAAGGCTTCTAATTTGTTCATCATGTTAGCCTTTATAATCCAGGTTTCACATCCATACAGTAATACAAGATACACATAAAATTTTAGGAAGTTAATTCTCAGCTGTAAGTTCAGCTGAGAATTGCTCAGAATAGTTCTAAGTTTCATAAATGCTCATCTTGCAATTTCTATACGAGTTTTAATTTCTTCATCCGGATTTAGTGTCTCGTTTATCCAACATCCTAGATATTTAAAACGGTTAACTTTTGTTATCGGTTCATTATTGACAATTAGTTGTATAGCGCCGAGGTCTTATTTACTAACCACAAGTAACTTTGTCTTTGTTGTATTTATGCTTAGTCCATTATTAGAGCATTCTCTACCGAACAGTCTTCTAAAATCTAAAACAAGGAGGAACATCTCAGAGTCATAACAAGCATCCTTATAGAATATACACCAGTTAAGGGATACGAGAACCTGAAACAGTCAACCATATCTTGCATGACTTCGAGGCATTAAATCGCAGGTGGCAAACACTTTTTGGAGACAACCAAGTGACTCCAAAAATATATAGTACTCATCCACTAAACTTGTATAAGGTGGTACAGGGTTCCAGAATCCTGGAATGAATATCGTGAAAGAATATAAGATGTACAATAAGACAACTGGTTGCAGTATGAACGACCGGTTTATGAGAGACGAACTCCAACAAAAACAATAATTGAACAACCGAGGAAAAAATCATGAACATGAAACATTTTGTACACGATCAGCTTAGTCTAAAGCTCGGATAATCACATACTACATTTTCTGTTTTACTCTACAGAAAGTTGGACATAGGAGTGGCAAACAGAAAAAAATAGAAATTCTTCGAAATATATGTATACATGAGTATACTGCTAATTTCATAGATACAAAAGATCATCAACTACAACCGCATGTGTAAATAAAAAAAACTATTAAACATCAAAGAAAATGTCGTACTTGGGTCATGTATTAAGAGATGAAAGATACAAACTACTTCGACTCATAAGAGAGGGTGAAAGGAAGGCGCCAGAATTTATGGACCCTGAGTAGATGGTTGATCAATGAAACCAATGATCATACTGTAGAAATAAACAGGCGAATAGAGATTGCCAGATCAGCATTTATACGAATGAAGCCACTCCTAACGTGCAAAAATCTAAATTTGGAGATCAGGCTACGTACCATTCGCTGTTATATATTTTCAATATTATTATATGAAGCTGAGACTTGGATATTAAAAAAATCTAATTTAAAAAGAATCGAGGCCTTCGAACTGTGGTTATACCGCAGAGTATTGAAAATATCATGGACTGATAGAATTACAAATAAAGAAGTACTGGAGAGGGTTGGTAAAGAAACAGAACTAATCACCACTATACAAACCAGAAAACTGGAATACCTAGGCCACGTGATGAGGGGACCAAAATATGAAATTTTGAGACTGATAATACAGGGAAAGATTCAAGGGAGAAGATCTGTTGGCCGAAGGCAGAACTCATGGTTACAGAATCTACGTGATTGGTATCAATGCAGATCGATTGATTTGTTTAGAGCAGCAAGTTCTAAAATAAAAATAGCCATTATGATTGCCAACCTCCGTAGGGAGACGGCACTCTAAGAAGAAGAAGAGTAGATGGTTTTACAGCGCATCTGCAGAAATCTTTCGTGCTACAGTTTCCAAAACTACAATTGTCATTTGAATCGCCAACCTTCGGAAGGAGAAGGCGTAATAAGAAGAAGAATAAATAAATCAATAAAAGAAGAATTAGAAAGTTTATTGAATAAGTTTTATATAATTCCCAAACTTTAATCGGTCCAGAGACTGTTATTGTTATCATTTGATGTTATTGTCCATCTTATCAACGAGGAAAGAAATAACGATTAATCATTTTGGTACTCAATAATACATGATGTATAATTAGTTAATGTTAAATCATCCATGATATATTTATATTTTCAAATTTTGTCGGTAGAGATCAAAATAAATATCGGTTTTTGTAACTAGAAAAGCCAGACATTGGGCAATGGTTTCGAATAATAGCAAAGATAAGCTAAGGAAGTAAAGTTATCGTTCTTTGAGAACCAAATTTAATATACGTTTTTTGATAGATTCGAAGGTCCGTCTAAAGACAACCCAATTCAAGTAAAATAAAAAAGAGAACTCGTTACGCCGAAACCTATACAGAATAATCCATTTTATTTTAATAAAACCATATCAGATAAAATAATAATAAACGTAAAATAAGAAAAACTAAAAAAAAATCCTAAATAGGGAAATTCAGACTGAAGAAAAAAAAGAAGAAGAAAGTTAGCTTGGGCAGCATTCGGTAAACTGAACTATATACTCAGAAATCAACAAATTCAATTACATCTTAGATCTAAAGTTTTTGATACATGCATTATTCCGATATTAACTTATGCGGCACAAACATGGACAATCACAAAAAAGAATATGAATATACTTAGAGTCACTCAACACGCGATGGAAAGAGCACTGCTAGGTATATCACTTAAGGACAAGAAAACAAACACATGGATAAGACAGAAAACCAAAGTCACCGATGTGGTGCAAAAAGCATTAAAGCTGAAATGGGAATACGCTGGACATGTAGCTAGGAGCGATCTAAACAAATGGCACAGATCAATTTTAACCTGGAGACCATACCAACACAAAAGACCCAGAGGCAGACCTCCTATGAGATGGACAGATGATCTGAAAAGGACTGCCGGGAAAAATTGGCTACAAGTAGCGTACAATAAAAACCAATGGAAAGGAAGACTTGAAGAGGCTTATGTTCAGATGTGGACGTGAATGGCTAGACGAAGAAGAAGAAGAAGAAGAAAAACTAGTAATATAATTCGGACGACTGAAGCCTTAAAAGAAGAGAAGAAGAAGAAGGAGCCTTAAACGAGATCAGCTGTATGACTGATCAGCCCTCTCAGTGTATGTATTACAAGGTCTAAAAATCTTGTGGATGAATGCGTCCTTACCACCTGGTTTAAGGAAGAAATTGTGCCATCGGTGACAAGGTTTTTGAAAAGGATTTTCAATTAAAGCAGTTCTATTAGTGGATAATGCTTCTTCATAACATAATGGAGAATATCTTCGTGTAGGCGAAATTATTGCAAAGTTTTTCCATTCGACTGTAATGAAGTCATCTTAAATTAAAGGCGTTTGTTCGTTTTACAAACATCTCTTAAATATACAGAAAACGAGTATCTTATCTGTTATTTGCGAAAGATTATATTGAAAAATGTAGACTGGGTAAGGCCAGGTTGTACATTTTTTATTAAATATTGGTTAAAAATTATTGATTTTGTATAATGACAGTGAAAAAAATCTTCCATCGAATGAATAGCTTCTAGCTTGAGAGACTATAACGAAATGATCTTTTTAAGTTTTGCTGTAGCCGAATAGATGAAAAGAAGTTAAAGAAAAAGATGAAAATAGTTTTCTCAAATAAATCATATACAATCAGCGTTCATAGCAAATGTAGTAGCTTTCACTTTGTCAGTTTCCACAGCTTTCTTTTCATTCAGTCGCCCCCTGTCAGATATCTTTCCCCAATATTCTTGGTTCTACTTTTAACCAGGTCGCCCTTGGCCTACTCTTTTCTTTCTCCCAGTTGGTTTCGGTCTCCACCCATTCTGTTTACATATCCATACCACATGAATTATTTCTGGCCTATATTATCAATAATAATTTTTTCTCTACCGTACAATCTTCTGATCTTGATGAGTGATGTTAACCACAAGATCACAATTTAATGCTCTTATTATCTTTGGACTATCATTAATTTCACAAGTAATGCGCGTACTAGTTTCTACTGTTCTGACTTGAAGTTCCTAATTATAATCTTGCTGATTTTCCCCATTGTTCATTTCTAGGTTTATACTTTGATCCCCTACACACATAATTCAGTTTTAGCAATATTAACCGTTATTTCTCATTTGTTGAAATCTTTAAATACCTTTCCTAGTCATATATGCTATTTCAATATAGTCCTGGGAGAAAAGACTTGGTCTACTGGAGGAGTGGTTTATCCAAGTAAATATTCAAAAGAATACCTTTTTTTCACGTATTTAAAGGGAAGAAGGAAACTCTGTATAGAAATCTGTAACTCACCCAGGTAGTGTTGGGTTCCTAATAGTCTAACGAAGTTGTGCCCGAGGTGGTTAAACCTTTGACATTTGGCCCCGTCACCACTCCCGAGACACGCACACATTCTTCGGGAAAACCACACTCACGCAAACCAGCAAAAACTTTCAATCCAAATCACAAAAATATCTTATTCTTATGATATTGTGCCTTTTTCTAGATCGTGGACCACTCTGGAAAATCAAGTCATAAGCCCCAAATATAAACGTTGTAAACAAGAACAGAGGTATGACGGCATACATTTAAATCTGAAGCAAATTAAGCGGCAAAATTATATAACAAGGGTCTAAATCAAAACTGACAAATAGCTCCTAATTTGTTCAAAATTGCCTCAATTAAACATTAACCACTTGGCGAAAAAGCAGCTGTAGCACGCGTATTAGGTTACTTACACTGCACTTTGCGGACGAGCAGGTAATTCTTGCATAGGATGAAGTAGACATTGATTATAAGCTTCCACGGCTAAATAAAGAATATACCAAATGGGTGTAAATATTTCAAAAACTGAATATCTAGTAGGTAGTAGAAAACGAAGCAAATTTTCTTCACTTAAGGCACACTTAAAAAGGAGAACATAAACTTTTAAACACCTGGGAGTAAAATATACATCTGCTGGGGAAATCAATAATGAAATAAACTCGAGATTATGCCAAGCGATTGCAGCAACTAAATAGGCAACTAAGCAGCCTGCTTTAGACCAGTAAAATAACTCAAAACTACAAAATAAAAATGTACAAAAGATTGTCGAAAGCATTGGAATATATGAAGCAGCACTGTTGGAGATAAATAGATAAATAAGTAGCTTAAAATAGGATAGTTTCCGGGAGTTGGCTATATACAATATTAGTTAAAAAACTTCGGCAGAGAATGGCTGTCGCAGACCAACACTGATGCGAGTTTTATTTCGAGTAGGGTCATACTGATCCCGGATAGCTCTTTTCATATTCATCGCTATTATGCCGACTAATTTAATACTTTTAAATATTTAATCTGCAATTTAAACACTGGTTTTGAGATTATTAGCGCAAGTACTTCAGAAGTCAGAGAACGTTCTGAATTATTATTAACATCAATTAAGATTTTTAATTTAAAGTTTTAAATTAAAAACCTCTCGCTCTCTCTTTCTTGTCGTTTCCCCATTACTGAGGATCGTGATTTCTTCCAGTATTCCTAACATTTTTTTTCCCCTGAACGTTTCTAGAAACAATTAATCTCTCCAAACTATAGTTACCTCTGCGAACCACGTGACCGAAAAATTGCAGAACACGTTGCAGACATATTGTGGACAACCTTTTTTTAATCTCGAGTTGGTTTAGAATGGAAACGTTTGACCTATGAGCTGTCCAAGGTATGCGCAGCATTCTTCTCCAGCACCACATCTCAAAGGCATCAATTTTTTGGCGCTCGTGTCCGCTAAGAGTCCAAGTCTCTGCCCCGTACAGAAATATTGAGAATACAAGGGCATTCACAAGTCTCATCTTGATATTTTGAGAGATAGATCTGTCTTTCCAAACGTAAGTTAGGCGACTCATCGCATTTTTGGCAATATTAATACGTCTTTGAACTTCTGCTTCACAGTTACCATCGTTAGTTTTACTAGACCCGAGATAAACAAAACTGTCCACTATCTTTTATTCCTGTAACATTTTAGTTAGCTTTATTGATTTTCAGACCAACTTTATTGCTTTTGTACTCAACTCTTCGCAGGAGATTAAACATTTCTTGCTCATTTGCTGCTATAAGTGTAGTGTCATTAGCAAATCTTAAATTGGATATTTTTCTACCAGCCACTGTTACTCCACCGGCCCATCCATCTAAAGCCATCCTCATGACATGTTCACCATAAATATCACCAGGTGCACTGGTGTGCCATTTTTATTAAAGTGGGGAGCAGATTTATTCAGCTTACACAATCAAGTGCCTTTTGGTATAATGGAATATACCAATTACAACAGAAGTTTTTTTTTAAATAAATAGATCTAAAATGAATAAAAAAGGGCCAGATAGCTCAAGCGGTAGAGTGACTGACTTCCACGCAGAAGGCCGGGGATAGATCTCCAACCGGTAAGAACATCTAGATATTTTTAAATATCTTCAGGTCCCAGATTGACTCAGTCGGAATAAAATGATTACCTTGGGTAAAACTAGGACGAATAGTAGGCGGTTGAAGCGTAGCCCTGGCCCTGTTAACTTCCTTGTATACCGTAGACCCAAGAGATAGCAGACTATTCTGCCATCTCTGCATGTTCTTATTATCTAGCCATGGAGAAGAATTACTGGAGACGTTGCTGCCGCCTTACTACAAGACGGATATAGATATTATTGAGACAATTAAGGCTAAGCGACTAAATTGGTTCTGACATTTACACCGAATGACCGGAGAGATATAGCCCAACAAAGTTTGAAGAAAAAGGAGAAGGTGGAAACACTTCTGGAAGAGAGATGTCAATGAATGAATGTAATGGCAAGTAGAGGCCTAACACGTCAAGATTGTTTGGATAGAAGACGCTGGAAACTATGTAGGATGCGAGAGGCGGCGGCAGCCGTAGAGTAAATTGCTTGATGTATTAATAAGTAGTTACATTCGAAACAAAAAACAAAATAAAATGTGAAGCAAATTTTGTCATTCGATAATATGTATAAAACAATTTGTTTTAAACGTTGTAAGTATTCTGTACTTAATAAAGTTATTGTCCTATCTAACACAGTTATCCATGATCATTTATAAAATCAATGAATATGTAAAATTTGATTATAGTTGTTTTTTTCTATCAACTGAAAAACCTAGAAGTAGCAATTCAGATTTAATTTAATGTACATACATACTTTATTTCTCTAAAAGGTGATTGTTGTTTTATCTAATATTGAATTTTCTTTGCATGGTCTCGTTTTTTGGGGATAAACAGCAGAAAGATCTTATCGTAAGTAGTACATATTTTTATTACTTTTATTTTCGCTTCGGCTAGCAACATATTTGTTGTGTAAATAAGTGTATTTGGTAATAGATAATCGTTTGTAGAAAGTGAAAAAATTATCGATAGCGTCTGATAAGGAGCGATAAATGTATCTATGAGCTCTCGTTGTGTATTAGTATACAAGTATATATAATAATTTGTTATTAGTCATTATTTGATCTAGAAATTGATTTAATGATTGTGAACGGATATAATTAAAGGTGTCTAGATGGTATCTATAAAACTAGCTACATTCAATTACGTTTTTATAAAGTCCAGAGAAGTTAATAAAAAGTTTTTTTGTGACACTCTTTGATACAGCTATCTAACAATTGATTTTGATAAATTTGGTGATAACTGTATGTAATAAACAAAATACGCACAAGATTAAATGTCATTTTTTACTTATAAACAATATATACAATCCTGGCAAAAAATCCGGACGCTTGCATTTTGTATGTTTTTTTTTTTTAATTTTATCACTGTATAGTGATTTTAATGAGGAGGAATTATACAATAATAAAAAAAAACGTTCCTTTGTAGGAATAAAACAGATTCTAAATGATCCCGTCGCCATAGAACCAACATAGTAACAACAATAATACACAATAGTTCAGAAAAGAAATAAAAGAGAAATGTTAAGAGAAACGAGAGACCTACACGAAGTGCAAAACATCAAATACCCCAGAATCCCGAGACAACTATTGAAGAATACGAAATGAAACAAAGCAGTTGGTAAGAAGAACAAAAAATGAACACTGGGAACAGTTTACAAAAAGGATGAAAAGCGACTTCTACGGTACACAAAAACAAATATGGAGATTCATAAGAAACCAACCGAAAGAAATGATAGAATTGAAGAAATACAATAACATACCAGCAAACGAATGGGGAAGATACTTGACGGAACAAAGGAAAATAATAATCAACACAATAACGTACCTGAATTAAGACACGAAATAGAAATAAGTTTTCAGGAAGTAGAAATAGCCAAAAATTCACTCAAAAATAGAAAGTCACCAGGACCAGACGGAATAACCAACGAGCTTCTAAAACACGGAGGAGAAAGTATAACCTAGAGATGACAAAACTTATACATTGCACTGCAAGATACCGCATTGCACGCATGGAGAAACAGCATAATGATACCAATGTTCAAGAAAGGAGATAAAGAAGATCCCAACAATTATAGAGGTATAAATTTACTGAATATCGCACTTAAGCTTACCACAAAAGTCCTAACCAACAAAATCAATGAACTAACAACTTTATCGGATGAACAACAAGGATTCAGATCCGGAAGATCCGGCGTAGACGCCTTAAGACAAATCACAAAAAATACCATCGAGTACAATAAACCAGCATATCTATGTTTTATAGACCTAACAAAGGCTTTCGATCGTATCCCAGTCGAAGACGTCTTACACCTACTATATAAAAAAAACATACCAATCAATATTATACAAACCATCGAAAACATCTACCTCAATAATCGAATACAGGCAAAGATAAATGGAAAAATAACACAGTGTATATCAGTACAAAGCGGAGTCAGACAGGGTGACTCGTTAAGCCCACTTCTCTTTAATATAATATTGGACGAAATAATACAAGCAGTACATAAAGGTCATGGCTGTAGAATGGGGAACAAAGAAATCCAAATATTATGTTATGCAGACGACACCGCATTAATCGCCGAGACAGAAGATAAATACAATATGATAATATCAGCAAATAAACCAAATGCATGACAACATCGAAATACCCATTACGATGTAAAGTCGAAATTGATGTGAAAATAATAAAGCAGAAAGCAAGGTTTAGATATCTGGGAATAGATATAACTAGTTATGGAGATGTTAAAGAAGAAGTACGACAACAAAGCTTAATAGCAAGTAAAGCGGCGGGATCTCTTAATGACACAAACTGGAAGAACAAACACCTAAGGCAAGACACAAAAACAAGAATCTATAAAGCAGCAATTAGACCTATATTATATACACGGCGGAGACAAGACCTGACACATTTAAAACGAGACGATTACTAGAAACAACAGAGATGAAAATACTCCGACGAATATCAGGGAAAAGTCTGTTGGATAGGGAGAGAAGCGAAAACATAAGAAGAGCATGCAATATAGAAGACATAAATGGATGTGTGACAAAACGAAAACAGGAGTGGAACGAACACATCAATAGAATGGCAGAGGATAGAATAGTACGAATAGCACGAGATAAGTCACCAAATGGACGAAGAAGTATTGGCAGACCAAGAAAAAGATGGTGCGACAATTTAAACAATTTAGGAGGCTAATATTGAAGAAGAAACAGGCTTTAAAGCCTACATACAAGAGGGAAGAAGAAGAAGCCATAGAACCAAAATTTTGATATTTAGCAAAACATGATATTCTATCTTGTTTACTAGCTGCAGATTTGTTGCACTTTTTATTGAATTTACAATAAGTTGCAGGTTTATTCTGATAAACTCACTGATAAGACGACTGTTTATTAGTGTTTTCAAATCGTGTTAGTATGACTCACGAAAATAATACAAAAGTTGTGGCATTATCTTAAGATGGTCGCAGTATGCTCCTATGAAGTATCTTTAGATTGGGGAATGCACAAAAAAAAACAGGATCAGGCAGAAAAAGCTACAGAGATCAGAGTGATGAACGTGTTTTTAAGATTTTCGCATTACGGAACCGCTCTTTAACATCAAATGTTCGAGGAACTGACATTTCTGCAAGAACTATAAGAATAGTCCTACATGCCAGTGATTTTCGTTCTCATAAGCCAGTAGCATGCCCTAAATTAACAGCAGTTCATCGACCTAACAGAATGAGATTTACGTTCAGCAATGGAGTGTTGTAATGATTTTTAATGAGTCCCATTGTTGCTTATGATCTCCAGATGGACGCGAATGTATGTTGAGGAGACCCAAAGAACGATTTGCACCTTGTTGTGTTTCACCTAGAACGCCGTTTGGTGGCGGAGGTGTTATAGTATGGTAGGATGTTTCTTTTAACGGACGCACCGAATTCATTTTCATCGAACATGGAACTCTAACAGCAGGCATATACATACAACAGTGTCTAGAGAGCATTATTGTCCCCTATGTACCTTTCGTTGGAGAAAAAATTTCTTATTTATGCAGTATAATTCGCGTCCAGATACTACCTAAGTCATGGACTACCTAAATACTGTCCTTATTCCCATTTTGGTTTGGTCTGCTCGTAGTCCTGAGATTAATCCATTAGAACATGTATGGGACATTTTAGAGAAAAAGCAAATTATTGCAAATTTGCCTAGGACTATTGAAATCCGCCTAAGGTTGAACAAGTCAAAGTAGAAAATTGTGCAGAAAATTACGAATTGAGAACTAGTGATGAAATAGGCCATCGTCTAATTCAATGTTGTCAAACACATTACTTGGTAATCTCGAATATATTTTCCCACTGGACATCACTACAATATACTGAAAAAATAATTACTATTGTAATTGGAATAAGCCATAATTGAAGGTTAAAGTTTATTGACGTTTCAATTTTCACTTCGGAAATTTTTCTCAAAATACAAACATTAATAAATTAAACAAATTTTGTTTTTTTTTACTTGGTGAAAAATTCTTCTAGTAATTTAATTTTACCTGACTCATTTATATTGACAGTTCAGACATATATTAGACATTTTAAAGTAGACGACTTTAAAACGATATTGCCAATATTGTTGAGTTGCGTTCCTGGGACGACTTTATTGTAAGACAGTTCCCCTGTTAGTGATTCCATAGTAAATCATGAGGAAAAAACCTCATAATACTATACCGACATGGTAAGTATTTGGTCTTAGATATAGTTTACTCTCAATAAACACCAAATCCTGATTTTATATGTTTGTTATTTAAAAAACATAAATGATGTATCTTCGATATGTTATTGACTTACTAATACTGGTATTTTTCTTTTATTAACTTCCTCTTTTAATATGGGTAACCAGATCTTACTGCATTCTGTGAAAGAATTTGCGACAAAATTTTTCTCTTTTTACCATCCGTTTCTTTTATACTATGCTTGAATCATTGAACACTAAAGTCGTCCCAGGAACGCAACTTAGCAATATTGACAATATCATTTTAAAGTCGTCTACTTTAAAATGTATAACATGTCTGAATTGTCAATATAAATTAGTCAGATAAAATTATTAATCTTCAATTGGGGCTTATTCCCATTAAAATAGTAGTTATTTTAATACGCCGCAAGAAAATAGCTTCAGGACAATATACAAAAAATAATACGAAACCAAATATACTAATTGACGATTGATACTAGTTATAGAAATATTATCAAGGAAATAAAGGCACACCAAGTATGAAAAAAAATATATGAAAAAAAAACAGAATCCTGAGAAGAAAATAGATAACCTAAAAATAATTCAATAAAGGAGAAATTGTTTGCAGAATTTAATGAAAACTTCGATACGATAGTGAAATACAATACCGAAAATAACGAAAAACACAAGGGAGATATTACTATTAACCATCAAAAGTAGTAAGCTGCAACAAATTATCATCTAAGGAAATATTTTAGATAATAGAAAAAATAAAAGGATATCATGGCTACCAAACTTGAGAGTGAATAGCAGCTCCAAGCAACTATTTGGGTCGGTTGTGTCTAAAATTCAGATATGATAGCTAACTTTGAAACGAAGATAGTTACTGTTTTGATTAATCAAAAGTAGAGAAAAATCAATACATGTTAATTTTTTTCACCTTTTGCGTTTGTTTACGTAAATTTGTACTCGTAAAGTCTGTGATAATATTAAGCGCCCAATCAGATGTTCAAATCAAAATATATCTAATATTTTTTCACATCTCCAAACTATCTCTAGCACAAAAACGTTATTTTTGTGACTTAGAACTTAGCGAAGAGTGAATGTTTATAAATCTATATATTTGTATATACGTTTCTTTGC